GGCAAGGGAGTGGTGAGAAGTGGTTGGGAAAGAGGTGAACACCAAAAAAAACCAAAGAACCAAAAAATTGTTGATCCGCGGTTTTAGAATGGGGAATCGTGAAAACAGAGAATTGGGTGAATTGTGTACGTAACCGGGCCGCAGGAAACGTTCGAGCGATCGACTTATCTAGGCGTCTTGTTAACAAATTTCATTTGCAGTCACCTTTAAACGGGAGACGTACATAGATTTGCTTTTGGCTTATTGTGGTCACTGTTGTTCTTTTGATTCTTTCACATAGATTCTTTTCAATAAATCTGTCGGGGTAGCCATTGTTTAATAGGGCTTGCCTGAGCCGGTTCAATTCTAACTCCAGGTTTTCTGCTGAACATATATTTCTGACACGAGCAGCTAGGGATCGGACGAGGTTTCGTTTACGCCCCAAGGGTACAAAACTGGCGAAATGAGTGTATTGACCTGTCCATGTGAGTTTCCTATAGACTGTTCTACTAATTGCACCGTCCAAGCGCTTAGTAAGATGAACATCTAGAAAGTGGAATGTGTTGGCCGACTCCATTTCCGACGTAAAATGGAGCGCGTCGTGAGCTTGGTTAAACGTGCTGGTCAGTGTTTGCAACGATATATTCTCATCAACTAATATGAAAATATCGTCAACGTAACGACCATAGAATGGCAAACCTTCTATCGTATCTCGGAGTTCTTGGTTTTCCAATTTTGCGACGAAAATGTCAGCTAAAAGTGGGCCCAGAGGTGATCCCATTGCAACTCCATCCGTTTGTCTGTACAATTCTCCGTTGAAGCTAAACTGAACGTTGAAGGTACAGCGTAGTAGTAACTCCTTCAAGTTAACCAATGGAATACTGATGTTTATCTCGTTGACCATGATGTAGTCACATAAATAATTTATTGTTTCCCCCAAAGGAACATTTGTGAACAACGATGTCACATCTAACGATGCCATAGATAAACCAGTCGTGTTTCGTTTGCGTATAAGTTCCACAAATTGGAAAGTATCCTCATATCCTCAGCAAACAATCCCGGCCGCGCATCACAATCAACGAATCAAATGTGGAAATTGAAACATTCGAATTACATTTTTTTACTATATAAATGTATTAGTCCGAGAGAGCAGTTGCCGAAAGTGAGCTTGATTGTTCAACCATTTTTATTCTCCATGTCAAGATGAGAGCTTTTTTCGGGAGACAAATACACGCAGGGGACTGCCATCGAGTTATTATCCGGTATGCACCGTTCACCAGAAAATTTACCGGTCTCCTTTCATTCTGACATTGATCTCAGTATATACGCTGTCTCTTTGAGAATTGAGATTAGGCTACGTGAGCCAATTTGCTGTTACTCGTAGGGTTTTCCCTTCTGACAAGGGACTGCTTATTTCGTAATGTT